GAAGTGTCAAGGTGTTTCCAGGATCGTTACACTGTAAGATGACCAATAGTATGGCCTGTTCGTAGCAAGCGCTAAAGCGAATAGGCTAGTCATGTATTCACAGATCTAAATCCAATAAAGAAATCGGGACTTTCAGATTTTCGTGAAATAATGTCCCGAGACTGACCTCGTCCATTCCCGTACATTTGGACTCAGCCATCACCATGGATTCCTCAGTGTCTATCGTAACGCTACAGTCTAGCCTCGAGAAAGAAAATTCTCTTCTCCGGGAAGCAGCCCTTGCTATACCCCACCAATTCGACAAGTGCACGTATCAATTAGGCTACCTTAGGCAGCACGTCCACCTCTGTATCGACTGTAAAGAAGTGAGAGGCTTGTGTGGAGCATGCTCTGTCTCCTGTCACACGGACCATACCCAGATTGAGCTCTTTCCGAAACGAAATTTTCGCTGTGACTGTCCTACACGCGCGTTCAAGCACCCCTGCGAACTGAATGGCAACTCTAAAGCGACTGGAGAGGCTAAATTTGATATTAATGAATTTAATACGTATAATCAAAACTACCGGGATGGAGGGCGCTTTTGCCGTTGCCATAGCTTATACGACGGCGAGCTGGAGCAAGAGACTATGGTTCAATGTCTGGCGTGTGATGATTGGTATGCTTTCATTCTTACTCTAGATAACGTAAAATGATACATATTGTACAGGTTCCACGAAAGCTGTCTAAATCTCCGCGAGCGGTTACCTCTTAGAGAACGGCCACTCACAGCGCCTAGTCCTCCGTCATCTCAATCTTCCAATCCAGCCACGGCACCTGCCGATGCTTCAACGAATGATACCGAAGCAAAGCCAGAAGAAGCCGCTGGGTCTGGTGAGCGATACTGGGACTACGAGGACGAAGAAGAAGAGGAGGATCCGTCCATTCCCAAGGCTCTTATATCAGCCACTGATTACGATACATTCGTATGTGGCGAGTGTCTGGTCCAAAGTCCCATGCTACTCAAGTGGGCTGGTTCAGCTGGCGCGAGAATGGTCGTCAGAAAGAGCAGCTCGGAGCCATGGTATGTCTACCCAGAGGCGCCTCCATCACAAGAACCTGCCGAGGTGAAGGACGAGATAAAGGAAAACGGCAGTGCTGTCTCTGGTCAAAAACGAACATACCAAGAAATGGAAGGCACCTCGCAAATTGCTGACACTCGGGCTGAAGGGGAGCCTGCAACAAAGAAAGTGCGGCGCGATTCAGAAACATGTTCTGCTCCCACACCCGATCCCCCGATTCAAGCTTTACTGGACAGGATCATTGCAAAAAAGGGGCCGTACCTAGAGGGTGAAGGGCTTCAGGGCTCAGGGGATGTCTTCTTCACGCCAGGATGGAGAGAAAGGTGGTGTAGATGCAAAGACGTGAGCATATATTTATGGTAACGAGCGTCAGCTGATAGATGACCCGGGTGGCACGTCCAGTGCTCTATCCAGTTAGCTTCAAAACCCTATCTCGACGAAGCAGAAGATGTATATGAATTACCCGAGGATCCAGACGCCGGTAAGCCCCTCGGAGCCGTACGATAGATATAGTGGCCTCATGTGGGGCTTGGATTAAAACTTCTCCCCATTCGACAGGTCTCTCGTTCGAGGAGTTAGGACTCAAAGCCCTTCAGAATCTTCCCAGAGAACGTGTGATTGACGGCCTTCGGGCATATCAGACTATGCAGTACGTCCCTTCGTCCGGGTTTAGGCAATCGGGCTATCAGAACTAAACATACACCCACAGTGAGGAATTCACCGCTTACCTTGCACCATTTGCTGCTTCAGGGAAAGTTGTAACAAAAGAAGATATCGAAGCATTTTTTGCAAAAAGAAGAGAGCCGCAACCATAACACCTATTTTGTGTAAATGACACTCCATGAAACCAAAATTTTTATTGATTGATTGTTATATGTAATGCCCATACTTATCTACTGTCATTTGTCCAGGATGTGACGCCGTCCCTTCCGTTCCAATGCAATTGCCTGTTCGAGTTAAACTGTCCCACAAAAACCTATGATGCGACGGAAATTAGCTTTTTTTCTTTCAACGTCGTATCATGATTGCCATTTAGATCGATGCAGTGTTGTCGGCACAAGGAGACGGTAATGTCGAGGTTCAAGCACGGCTGTCAAGTGGTGCCTGAGCGGACTCGTTCAGGCCATTTTCGACCCAACCACTCCTTCAACGCGCACCCTACATGAAGTTCCTCCGACGAAAATCGCAGAGGGAAGATGAAGTACCGACTTTTGACCATACTCCACCGCCTCCAACTGGTGGACAATCGACCAGCGTGGGCAAAGATCTGCCGCCCACGCCCCTGTACGCTCGATATGCACGTATGGCATCGACGCCTAGCTTTGATTCGCTAAATGGTGCTCCAGAAAACCCTTCATCTTCTAGATTTTCAGCTATCAACGCCAGCACGGCTAGTGGCTTTGGAGGAGCTGCCCCAAGCATGAACAGCCAAAATTCAGAGGGTGTTGGTCTCGGTTCTCATGGAAGAGCAGCTGGCTCTGCTCTGCTAAATAACGGAAATAATTCCTCTACGAACGAATCTGCTTCTGCATTGCGAGCGGAGCCCATCAAATTAAAGCCGAGGAGGGGCAGAACCAAGGATGACGCTCCGCGCGTTGTGTCTATGGTACTAGATACACCAAAAAGCACAGAAACCCCAAAATCCTCGAGACATTCCAGAGGGTTGACAGATGGATCAGCAGAACCCAAACCGACTGTGTCCAAACGGTCCATTGACCATACAAGCACTAGTAAGACTATAAAATACTCGACCTTAAACCTGCTAACATGGTGACACCTAGATGCAAATGCAAATAATGATGAACTGACTGCCGGATCTGGAGCAACCAGGCGCAAGCAGGGTATGTAATCCTTTTCGGCAAATCGGTGGCCTCCGATTGACCATTCTAAAGTCTCTCCTCCATCGAACTCGGTTACTACCGAAAAGTCTTCGTCCGGTGAGTACATTGTATACAGACTTGGCGGTCCCTTCCCACATCCACACATCACTTTGCATACTACACTTCATGTTTATCATGACCAACGCGTTGCTATTCGTGAAACGCGTCGGGATTGGGTGTAATGTCGTGCATGCCGCCATACGCCATCCAACCTCCTGTCAACGCCTAGCCGCTTACCCGTTTTTCGGCAGTGGACGGTACAAGTTCCGCCGCGACACCCCGATCTTCGACAGGTTCGTTGACATTTCTTGAGTGACGGATTGGATTGCTGATTTCGTCATAGCTCCGCTCCTCAATCCCTCGTCTACGTTCAATATACAACCACCAACCCTCCAAAAGTCCATCCTCGCTTCGGAGGATGACCCAATTTCTTCTTATGC